AAATATTAAATAATAAATATTAGCTTATAAAATTTAAATATAATATAATATAATATTTAAATAAAAATTTACCATTGGATTCTGAATATTAGTATTCAGCTTTGAAATATTTTTAATAATCTTTCTTGTTCGCAAATTATGTGATGGAGGACTTGATATTTTTTTTGTTTGTGATGCATTATTTTTTGAAGTTGAATTATTTACTGGATTGTACTAAATATAATAATAATTAATTAAATTAAAAATTAATTTAATTATATAATAATAATTAATACTAACCTGTATATTATTTTCATCACAGTTTTGATCTGATTCTTCATATTCAGAAAGTGAATTAACTACAATTTCAATATCTTCTTCAGGAATATTATCTTCATTATCAATTTCTGCTTTATAAAGTAGATCAATTAATTGACAATCACCCGCAGGATTTTGACCAAAAACAAGACGAAATGGTGTATCTTTTGTAGATGAACATTCTTGAGTATTCATTGTATCTATATTAATAATAAATTATAAATATTAATTAAATAAGTATTAATATTTTTAATAATTATAATAAATTCAATAATTAAATAAATCAGAAATTCAAGATACTAGCAGAATTACAGTAAACTTCAAATTTGGTGACGAAAGGTAAAGAAAAATATCCAGTTTAAAAAATGCAAATAACTCCGTATCCAGTGAACCAAATTAAATATTTTTGATACCATTAGAAAGGTCTTGATAAGGCGCATCTAATGATATCAAAATCATTTAATTTGGTTTACTATATACAGAGATATCGCGTCTCAAAAACAATGTACAAAATCATTTAAAATTTTAAACGATTTTGTATGTTGTTTTTGTGACGTGATATCTTCGCATATAGAAAACCAAATTAAATGTTTTTGATACCATTAAAAAGGTCTTAATAAGGCGCATCTAATGGTATCAAAATTATTTAATTTGGTTTTCTAGATGTGAAGATATCACGTTACAAAAACAATGTACAAAATCGTTTAAAATTTTGAATGATTTTGTATGTTGTTTTTGAGACGCGATATCTCTGTATATAGTAAACCAAATTAAATGATTTTGATACCATTAGATGCGCCTTATCAGGATCTTTCTAATGGTATCAAAAATATTTAATTTGGTTCACTGAATACGGAGTCATTTGCATTTTTTAAACTGGATATTTTTCTTTACCTTTCGTCACCAAATTTGAAGTTTACTGCAATTCTGTTAATATCTTGAATTCCTGATGTAAATTAATTCAATATTTATCAAGTTAAAAATAATTTAATTACTTACAAATTATATGATGTAGTCCATTACTCCAATCTTTGCGTCCTGTATCATTCATCCATGCCCAAATTTTTTTTTAAGTTCTTGATTTCCACGTTCAATTGATCCTTGTGATTGAGGATGACGAGGACGACCATGAATAATTTTCATTGTAG